CAGAGAGAGAGAGAGAGAGAGAGAGAGAGAGAGAGAGAGAGTGTGTGTGTGGGTGTGGGTGTGCAATAAAAGCTAACTAACGGTCACGATAAAATGTTGAAACTCGTATCCAGTCAGCCACCTTTCTATGAGAAAATCCGAATCCCTCTTGATCTACACTATGTCTCTAAAACTTGCTCCAGTGAACCATTTCTATTTGTGTCGCGACATGGTGGAATCAGGCTCTCGTCAATTTTTGGGCATGTAGAGTTATTTGTATAATCGTACAGCTTTTTCACTTGTCTTTATTGGGAAGAAAAAAATATCCATTTATCTTGAATACAAGTCGAGATATTTGCAAAAGGAGGTGGGGGTCATCTGTTTTCAGAGGTAAAATTAGTGAGAAAATGGCCACCAAAGATTAGTTATTTCCTTAACTTAAGAGTCCGTGGAAACTAAAAATTTACATTTTTTTGTGCCTTTAATCAACGTTTTTCAGAATAATCCACACAAAAATGAGTTCTTTAATGGGTCTGAAAGGTGTTGAGCCAAAAAAAACCAAAGATTAAAAAAAAATTCACAAACCTGTGGAAAAATGCAAGTTTCTTCACTTTGATTATTTTGACGAGAGCCTGATTCCACCACCCTGCCTCACATTTTTTTTTAAAATAACAAAATAACACACACGAGAAACTTCTTCATAGTTATCTGCTCTATCAATATCATAAGATTATTCGAAGTCATTATGAAGATATTCGAGGAATTGCATTCGAAAAAGCTTAACGTGACGTGAAACTCAAAACGATTTTTCGTCAAATTTCCCAAAACTAGATCTAGGTACTGAGCAGATAGAACTTTGTATTTCTGATGTAATGAAATAGAGAAGACTTTACCACATACATTCCAAGCTTTTTCGAAAGCTAATCTTTGAATATCTTGATAGTGACTCCAAATAATCTTGTGATTTTGATAAAGTAGATTATACTTTTTAAATTTTGGTTTCCGACCTCCTGGTCTTAGTAACTCAGAAGGTCAAAATTGTCTTCATAACTTTGTAATTCTACGGTAGTGAAGTTGGATGAGTGTGTGTCTCCGGCAATCTTTTGGCGAGTGAGAAAGAGTCACCCTTCGCCCATTCGCACAGCATTACTTTCCGAACTGCACAGTCATGGCTGGGAGCGCAATACGATCTTGAAATCTATACCTAAATACTTATCCATCAGTAATTTCTCTTTCTCTCTCTCTCTCTCTCTCTCTCTCTCTCTCTCTCTCTCTCTCTCTCTCTCCCTTACTCAGCGCTAATGTAAATTATAGTAACACTAGACTAGATATGATTATAATACCGTTCCAAATGATCTGTAGCATGATATCCAATGTCATGACCACCAGCCTAATGAGTTGTACTCGTTTGGAACCGAATAAAGGCAACGTGAGAAGGTGGTTTGGGCATTCTCCACAGAGTTGTAGTGCAGTCAAAAACTCGTGACGAAAGTTATTGTCTAATATCTCCTCAACTATCTAACATAAATTCTCCAGGTTTTGCACAGCGACTCAATTTGTCTTAACATATCAACATTTTTGTAAACACCTTTCAGCTCTATTCTAAAAAATTCCTTAATTTAATACTAATAAAAGATCTAACTGGATGGTGTCTATTGATTTTAAAAGGTTTACAGCTGGGACAATATCGCTTTTAAAAGCAAGTACGTCATTTTTTTTCCAAAAGCGAGATTATCTTTATTGAACGCATAATTTGAGAATTTTTGGTGCAAAAAAGTGTTCATAATAAAAATTTTAATTTTTTGTTACTAGTTTTGCCACTTAAAAGTGTCATTGGTGAGCTGTGACGTAACCCATATGCGTATACAAAATGTGTGTGAGGAGAGGGAAGTTCTGAGAACAATTTTATTTTCCATGTGAAGGAGATTTGTAGTGTTTTATATAAATTTATGAAGAAAAGATTTTTAATCTAACCTCAATTGTTGTGGAAAAATATGATTCATTTAAGACAAATTGAGACAAACTACTGTGGGAAGTATGGGTGATATTGATTCAACCGTTAAAAAGATATTTGAGGATAAGTTGCGCCACGAACAGACCGCACTATAGGAGACGTGTTTGGCACAATATTTGAGCGCCCATGCAGCGAATTTTTTTATAGTGTACAAAGAGCGGCTGCCTAATCAATTTACAGTCTAGGAATAATGTTATAATTCAAATATATATAATTATTTTGCTTGCTGAATGTTATACGGAGGATAATAGTGTGTGGAGTGATAAACGCATTAATTACAGCTGATATTTCACACGTCAAGTGTCTAGTTTTTATATTTCACTGTGCAGAATGTAATATGGCGAATATAGTACGTGCAGTAGTTTACTCATTTTACAGATGATATTTCACGTGTGAGATATCAAGTCTTTATATTTCACTTGTCAAATGTAATGATTTATTCACCAGATGTGCAATGATAAAGTAACTATATATACCGTATATATTATTATTATAACTACCAAGTTATTCACTTATTGCAACATTCGTCACTCGTTTAAAAAGTAACTAATAACATTAGAAATTCACATTCGTAGCTTAAACATTTTCTGAAATCAGTAACACCATGCAGAGGTCGGCGCATAGGCTGTTCTTGGCCGTTGGTAAAAAAATGTGGAAATCTTCAAGAAACACAATATTTCATCATCCTCGGCATTTTGCAGTGGCATGTAGCAACATTCACACAACTTCTACTCAATCCTCTGAAGATGCTGGCTCGACTTCGACCAAATTCTCTAACCCGTATGACGTCAAAGAAATCATTGACCATTACCCCAAGCACCGTCCCACGTACGCTGACGATACCTACGTGAAGATTAGGGAGTTTTGTGAAGAGAACAACGCTCAGTTTGATCTGGCGCTGGACATGGCGTGTGGTTCCGGTCAAGCAACAGTTCCCCTGGCGGGAATTTACAAACAGGTCTCTGATGCTTTTCTTTGTCTTGTTTTATTTTGGTAAGTGTTTTACGATGCTAGCGACTGCATTAGGCCATATGAGCGCGAGGACATATTAAACCTTTCTAGGTTGGTAGGAATTACATCATGTAATATGGAATAGGTGGCCGCTGAAATTTACTCTTTCGATTTTGGAGAACCGAGGGATGTTTAACGAGCGCATCGTGCACACAGGACTTCCGAAAACATTGCATGTGGTTCTGGTCAAACAACAGTTCCCGTGGCGGGGATTTACGAACAGGTCTGTGAGACTTTGTGGTAGGACAAGCGTTATATTGTATAGTGCGGTCAAAAATTCGCAACGCAATCTATCCTCAAATATTATCTCTTCAACGGATGAACCAATGTCACCCATACTTTTCACAGCAGTTTGTATCAATTTGTGATAAATTTTCCCACGACAACTGAGGCTAGATTTAAAAAACTTTTCTTCATAAATTTATGTTAAAAAAATGGCCGGAGCTAGTCGCCCGATCTTGGGTGGCTAGCATTTTGCTACTCGACTGAATTCGGTCGATTAGCCAGACACTACTGGCCCGTGGGGATTTCTGCAACCTCCCGTGGCTAGCATTTTGCTACTCCACTGAATTCGGTCGATTAGCCAGACACTACTGGCCCGTGGGGATTTCTGCAACCTCCCGTGGCTGGCATTTTGCTACTCCACTGAATTCGGTCGATTAGCTAGACACTACTGGCCCGTGGGGATTTCTGCAACCTCCCGTGGCTGGCATTTTTCTGCCCCACCCCGAGCCGGTCACTTAGATCTATAGTCAGGACAACACCAAATGGACAACTTGTCGACCTCATTACACCGAAACTAAGAGGCGAATTGCCTTGATTTTTTTGCATGTGCTTCTGAATTAGAATTTTTAAAAAGAACCAAAAAACCCTAAAAAGTTTCGATTTTCGTGCATATGCGACAAATATAAAGATGTGTTTTCTACATAATCATTAGTACTTTATTACTGTCTGCGATGGGATTTTTTAAAATTAGAACAAGAACGCTAGTTGAGTGTTATTTTTTTTTTTTTTCAAATCTGTTTCTTTTTTAAAAAACTGATTGCATGTGCCGCATAGAGTTATGATGTGCCGCAAGACTGAGTTGATTTCAATCCAGCAGTTAGTGGGTAACAGTGGGTTTATTTACATTGACTATTTAGTAAATGTGATATACAATGAGTAAAGTTTCTTTATTCACAGTCTTTGAGATTGCATGTGTTTCGATTTGCAGTCGCTTTTTCATTTGTCACCATTGTTAGAATACTTAATTTACAAATCAGAAAAAAAACTTTAAAAACATTGCCTTAAAACTATTGAACTATTGACCACTGAGATAATGTTGACATGTCAGAAATGATGATAAAATAATAATATAACAATAGTAATAATAATAGCAATAATAGTAATAAAGATAAAAATTAGGGCGCATAATACTTCAAATAATACTACTTTCATATTTAGGAGGGTTGAAAATGTGTAGGGGGGAAGGGGGGGGAGGGGGGGGGGGGTTCTGCCTTCACCATACCACCCACTCTGTTGCGGGGGGGGGGGGGGGGGGCTACCCCCTTTAACCCTGCACGAGATTGTGGGTGGGGGTGAGGGTACGGGGGGGGGGGGTGCCCAGTGGCATGCCTATACTTCAGGCACTCGGTTGATCCCCGGTTTTTGGGTTTGACCAAACTGTATCTCTCCCCCCCTGAAATTTCTAGCTGAGCCCCTGCAACGACACCCTGTATTGTTATGATTTTAGCATTGTACCATACTTGCTATAGAAAGTGTGCGGTGTTGAGTTTAATGAGAAATTAATTACTAATGATTATATAGAAAACACCTCTTTATATTTGTCGCACATGTACGAATATCGAGATTTTTCAGGTCTTTTAGAATTCAGATGCGCATGTTGATATTCAGAAAGATTCGCCTCTTAGATTCGGTGTAATGAGGTCGACAAGTTGTCCATTTGGTGTTGTCCAGACTATAGCCTTAGTCGTAGGTAGCGTAAACACGGCCTTGCGGCCTTCCGAGCGACATGAAGCTATTAAGAGCACCTAGCACACCTCTGTGATTGGCCCAAAATAGATCATAGATGTTTTTCCGCCATCTATTTTTGTCGTCCCTCGAGGTTTCCCTCGCGAGTTGACTAGATCCCTTAGATCTATCACCCTTTATTGTTTAATTATTATCATTAATCGGAATGCGGTGACAAAGTTGCTAACAATATAAATGCAGTGTTGTGGTGTTATTAAAGATTGTATAACTACTACCAAGATGTTTCAATAGCCCTATCTCGTGTCCGAACGAGACTTGGGCACTAGATCTACCTCGTCTTAGAGAGTGACAGCTCGTGATGTGAGTGTAAACAAACGTTCCAGCGCTGAGTTGAAAGAGGACGGACTTGCTCTTATTCCAGCTCATGGGGTGTAAACCTTTTAAAATATGTAGAAACCACGAACTGAAATCTCTTATTCGTATTTATTAAGGAATATTCTAAAATACATTTACAGCTAACACGAGTTTACAGAAATGTTGAATTGTTTAGATAAATTGCTACAAGTCATTGTGCAAAAGCTGCAGAGTTTTCGTTCGATAGTTGAGAATGCTGCAACACCCAGAAGACCCTTGTTCGATTTTCGTGTGGGGAGAATTTTTATCAAGTATCTCGACTTTTTTGTTGGTTTCTTTCCAAGTAAAAGGAAAAGAAATGTTTATTAAAAGGAACAATAAAAAGGTTGATTTAAAAAACAAACAAAACTAAACAAAACACAGGTGTATCAAAAAGAACTGAAAAAAATATATTAAAAAGAACCATCAAAAAATAGTTTGTTAAGAAGAACAAGAAAAACTAAAAGATCGTGGGTGAGCAGATTTTCCTCCTCGGTCAACAATTTTTTTCGCAACTTTCCTTCCCAGGTGGTCGGAGTCGATGGGAGCGCTCTCCATGTGGAAAAAGCCCCACGTGATCTGAACAACATCACGTATCACGTGGCAGACTGCAACTTACCGCTCAATTTCATCCAATCAGGGACAGTTGACCTCATTACTGTGGCATCTGCTATACAGTGGCTGCACACGGACAAGTACCTACGTCACATTTCTGCCGTCTTATGACAACCCCCCCCCCCCCCCAAAAAGCGTTTATTTCAAAATGAAATTTTACAGGAGAGGCAGAAAAAAACAACAAAAAAACAAACAAACAAAAAAAAACCCTAACTTTTTGTGTGTGTGTGTTCCAACTTAACTAAAATTTGTTTGATCTGCTTATTCAATGTCAATATTCATTGGCCAGTGTAACTTTTGTCTGGTTTGCTGAGGTATACAGTGAATTGTTATGGAGTAACTGATTATTATTTTCTTTTT